CAGCTCTGTCGACTGAGTCATCCGGCAGGTAACAAGTATCATTTCTCCTTTTAGTACACAGTTCTATAGATAAACAATTGCACTTGCTTGCATTAGTTCACTCCATTATGTTTGATATATTGCCATATTGCACTGTAAGATTCTCAATTTTGAAATGATATATTTATGTCATCACATTTTTTGAATTCTTTATTTTTATTTAGTCGATATATAATCTTTATTCTTTTATTATCTTAATGATAAACATCATGTCATTAATAATTTTAAAACCGAATTTTTAAATGTGATTGGAGTAATTGAGAAGAAAGCTATCTTCAAATATTATTGTACTGAGTTTATTCCTTTGATCGTTAGAGAAGTCTTGATGAAAGCAATGGTGTATGAATAAATTGTATTTAATAAATTGAATAATTTCAAATAAATAAATTCAGTAGCGGTATACATTTTGCAGTCTTGTGACAGTGATAAATATTTCAGTTCTGATTTAAAATTCAACCATGCTATTGTTTTAGACATTTTAATAACAGCATCGTTATAATAACACATTGCTTCTTTTCAAATCAAATTATGATATCATACGCCTCTTATTTTAACGGCGTTGTTAGGAATTCGATATTTGTTAATTAAATTATAACAGGTGAATAAATTTTAAATTTATAAGAATATAACAAAATGGGACAAATACTAAATTAATTGTGACCAAATGGAATAAAAAATATCTGTATTAAAGGTCTACTGCGATAGTTGTATCATAAATGTAATTATTATCATTTTAGAAGAAAACATAAACTTTTTAATTCCATTCAAATAAGGATTTGATAAAAAAATAGCTGTATGCAACAACAGCAACAACAGCATGGCTTTTCTATTTCAATTTTTATCATAAATTTTATAATAAAAAAACAACATAAAACAATAGTTTTTTCTATTTGATGCGTTTCTTCTGCATTCTCTATTAAATGTTATTATTTTTCTCTCAGTGCCATATGTTTGCCACCAGAGATCTATAGATTAATTCCAAACATCAACATTGATAAATCATTAAAACAAACGATATGAAGACAAACTATGCATGGAATCACAATTAATTTACTTGAAAGGTCTATAGTATGTCTTTTGGCGGTCTCGTAAGTACACTCGAGTCAAGCGATTAATTTGAGAAAAATTGTTTAAACATTTTAATTAGCGAAATTCTAATTTCTTATATTTATTTCATACGTATTATAGAAAACAATTGGAATAACAGTATCACAATTCACACAGTATATTGACTGTACAGATACTTAAAACTGACACAACTTTTTGCTTACTATTTTTACTATCTTGTCTCGTTAGAAAATATACGTAATTATGTTAGTCCTTAGATATAGTTGTAAGAAACTATCACAAAATGGTTTGCACCATTTTGTCATCAGCTTTTTCAAAACGGGATACATCATTTTGCGTACATTTGTACAGTTCGGTTTACTTATTGAAAAGGATGTAGATAATTTGCGATATCAAATTATAGAATCATATCTGTAATAATTCCTTAATTCGACTTTACTTATTGGAATGTTTATTTGACCGATCGATTTATCAAATTCGAATTGTTTGTCAATAACATGACTGTGTAATTTACAGAGTGTACTGTGAATCAGTTGAGCTGAACGTACAAGTAGAGAACTAAAATACAAAGATTAACTCGAACAAGAAGATAAGCACTAGTTATGTTATTCAATTGCCAATGGCTTCGTGAAATTTTGTGAAAATTCTTACAGACATTATTTGTTGTTTTTCTTCTTAGCTTAAATAAACATAAAAAATATTTTTTACAAAAGGAAATATAGTCTCTACATATTTAAATGATATAAAAAACGATATAAAACGTCTGATTGGGCAGTTATTGCGCTTCATTGTGCAGGCTTTTGGAGTGATCCACCTCAAAAGTTACAACAAACTAAATGTTATAATCTATTTTATATAATATAGCAATCGTCTTCAAATATGTCTTCATATACATAGTTTATTCATTATTTAATTCAAATGAGACATATTCGGTAAGAATTAATTTCCATGATCAAAATATTTTACTCAAGGATGAGCTTAGTATATCTTCAAATATGAAAATTGTCAAATTTGGAAGTTTACAATTTTCGTAGATGGAATCTTCAACGTAGCACGTTCATGGCGTTCCACATTTATGAACAATCAATTGACTGGTGCTTGAAAATATTAATATATGTACTTTTTAGTATGAAGTCTAACACAAAAAACTAAAAACAGCACCAATATACATAAATAAATTCTCTGTCGATAAATTTCTGAGAATTTGACAATTGCCGTGGGTTTAACGTGACATGTAAGTATTTTGTTTCATAATCTGATAACTCACGGGGGGAATATTGGAGGTATTATTAAAACTTGTATTGTTTACTGGGATTCCTCAGCAAGAATCTAATGAAGTTTTGATTTCCTTCTTTCGTGCTTAAATGGAACGTTCTATACTTATGGATATACATTTATGTGCTAATTTTCAATGTTTTATCAGGGTTTGGTAAACTAAATGAAAAAAGATTCATTTAGGTTTGTCATGCCTTATTTAAGTATGTATACTAATATGACATAGTGTTTTCCGGTTACTTATTATTATCCTTTTACCACGTAGTCATTTCATCTACCACTCATTTAGAGTGCAACTTTGTCTTTTTTTCACATTAACCGACTTTCCTTTTACTTAAAAACTTACTGATTTCCTTTTCAATTATATAGGTGAAAGGGATATTATCTAACACGTCCGTTTTTGAAAAGATTAACGTTTCAGAATCATCTATTTTGACAGGTTACCATGGAAACTGACATTTTACTTACAATAAATACATGACGTCAACATATATTTTTCTTTTCTTTTTATTTTTAAAATCACTATTAATTTTTACTCTTCATATTAAAATATTACAACTTTTTAAGGATTGAATTATCCTAGGACTGTAGAAAATGATTTTAATATTTGCTCTTGCTTATACAAATATTTTTCTTCCGATATTTTCTTGGTGGTGATTGTAGTAGATGAAGTGGTATAAGTATTTTTAGAAGTAGTAATAGTAATGAAACAAATTGAAAAAAAAAGAAGTTGGACCTAAGACTTAAAACTGTGACAACACTCATCTCATATGATTTTAATTAGATGTTTGTTACTTTATGCGGTGTCATTGTGTAATATTTTCTGAAATTCTATGCAACAGATTGTGTTCTGTTATTTCTTATGCTGCTTTTATAAAGAAATATGTTGTATGTTTAATCAATGAAGCCTAGCAAAATATATACAAATAAAATTGTTTAAAACGTTGCATAATGACTGAACATAAAGTAACAATAATAGTTTGAAATAGAAAAAAATATTGGTATGATTGATGTTGTGTTGTCCTCACCTGAAAGTGACATAAAATAGTAGAAAATAATTTTCAGGGGCACTTAGATCACAACTGGGGATAGTGACTCGCACATGTTTTTCATCAATCTGCTTTAATCATGCAAATTTATTGAAAATTCTCACCGCTAAAATAAATGTTCCTTCTTCGCCCTTGTAAAAGATAATAATAAATTTTTTCAATTAGCAGCCAAAATCATAAGTGCACTTCCTCAAAGAAACAGGCACTCAGAGTTCGCATGCCCAAATAAATTATATGATATAATTTTGTGTTATAAGGTTGCTTATCCTTATCCATTGACCAGGGAGTCATTTTATCTACCACTCATATTGAGTGCAACTATGTCCTTGTTTCATATTCAGGGGAGGTGATGTATAACAGCGTATCGGTTTACCTGATTTCTGAGTCATTTCCCTTTCAAATACACAGGAGAAAATATGGTTCAATTTTGATGAACGTTTTAGACTCAAAATCATACTTAGAATAGACATTGTATATCTAATAAGAAATCTAATTGTTTAAAAGCCTGGTCTAATCGTTGATAGTTTTAAATAAAATATCGAACTTGATTTTTATTATTTAAACTTTTTCTCTTTAATATTATTTCTTGAAACTAATTAACACATTTTCTTACGACATTTCCTTGGTAGTGGTAGTATTGTGATAGTAGATGAAGTCTGTTATAAGTAGTAGTGAGGCATGTTTAAACCTATTTTATACGTTTAGTTCAAAATGACGGGACTACCAGTAACATCCATGATCCCGGAAAAAGCATGTGCATACCAAAAGACACCAAATAAATGAAATCCCGAACATTTATAAATTACTCAGTTGATCATGTTAAGTGTTCATAATATGTCATATGATTATTGATGTGATTAATTGATATCAATTTCAAAATTTAGATGCATTTTTGATTATTAATAACGCATTTATATAATAATGTGTACGTGAATACGTAAGTGTAAGGTACACCCCAGAAAGACAACAGTTCATTTAGAAACACATCTTGGATTTTTTCCTAGATCAAAATGTTAAATGCTTTTACAAAACTCTGAAATAAACTGTAAAGTTATAGCAGTATGCATGTATACATTTGTGTGCGTGCGTGGTCGTGTGTGTGTGCATGTATATAAGGCAGTGGAAAATACTTTTTTGCTTGTTTTTCTTTTTTGTAATTTTGAAACTGTTTCAACGAACGCAAAACCCTAATAGGGTCATATTTAGAATTATTCTTTACTGTTTCTGTTGTAAAAGTGGTTGTTTATCTATTTCAAAGATAACTTCTTTAACAGGTTACTCAGATATGATAAATTAATGTATACTTTATCGTCCTTATTTATCGTCCTTATCTTGTGACTGTATGTGGGAGAATAAAAAAAATAAAAACAATACGGTTATCTTTTTTTTTTAAATTTTATTCCGCCATTAAGCTTTTTCTTATAATAATTTTACAATATATATATTAATATATCAATAAGGATCTAAGGAAACTGTTGGAATGTACTTAACAGAGGTATTGTGAACTACTAAACATATGTTCTGTACAAATAGATAAAAAACGTAAGTTCAGTAATAATCGTTTCAATATCGATTCAAGAAGTATTAGAAATAAAGGTTTATATTTTTTCTTTCGTTTCAGGTCAACATCAATGGCAACTTTTTTTTCTCAGGTTTACACTGAAATACATAAATAAAACAACTTAGTTAACATATATTTCTGGACAATCAAATGAAATTTGTATTAAAACAAACCAACTTTAGCAACACATGTTAAAGCTTGTATTTTTTGTGCATGCTTTCATTATGTGCATTGACTGTATATGGCCCAATCGACAACACTTTAACTTTAAGAGGCAAACTGCACAATTCATATAATAATGTGAGTATTTTAAGTTGAAAAGCATTTTGCTTTATCATTAAAGTTAAAATCATACCGTTGGGCAGTATCCTACCAAGGTTATAGAGTTTTTACATCATAAAAGACTATTTCAACAACTTTTACATTTGAGAAATGTTATTAAGCATATACTATTTACTATTACTTATGGTAAAAAGTATATTTTTATTTTTAAAAAATCGACAAAATAAATTACCACAAGCAATCTCGGTACATGCAAGCACGCCGTCACTGCAGGTACACGTATTACAGTCTATCATTTTGCTCTTCCCGTCCGGAATGTTTACTTTTATTTTTTCACTACCTTCACCATCTTCATAGGTACAAGAGTTACCTGAAGTATCAATAGCTAATTTGTTAATGTATCCAGCTCATCAGTATTGAACCTACATTTGACAGAGTGAATTTGCCTCTCTTTCACAAGGACACTGTTTTCTTCAATTCTGGTAAAACTTGATTGAAGATTGATCCTTTAAATGCTGCATATTATAGATGATATTAACTGCAATTCTTATGTTATTTTGTTGTGATTAATGCTTCCGAGGGATCACTTTGTTTCCAGAATTTTAGTTATTCTTATACGCCAGTTTGAGCCAATGATCATGCACACAAATTGATGCTATTGACTACAATCTAGTAGGTAACAAGTTGTGTTCGGAATAATAACGAGCAAACTCGCCCCCCCCCCCCCCCGTATGATACATATATCTTGACTGTAGCTTTGTGGTATTTTACTGCTGTAGGCATTGCTACCAGTACTTGATAGAAATGTCAGAAAACAAAAATATATAAAAGAACCAGAAATATTGCTACTCACTCACTTTAACAAAATAAGAACCAATATTGAAACTATCTTACATAACACAAAATATTTCAAGGGAAAACTGAAAAAGCAAAACATTCAATTTCAAGGTCAGACCGTTGGCTAATGAACATGGTAACCCCTATCCTCTTCCCAATCCTCCAAAATTTTTGTTTGATTTTTTTCTGTTATTATACTCTAAAATCGTGCAGAATTTATATAGTTTTATAACAAAGGTTTCATCAGCTTATATGTCTACATGTAACTGTAGCATAAGCCTTTAACATAGCTATTTAACATTATTTTTTATCAATATTTCTTAACATTGATATGCCTCCGCTTCAGAAAATAATTATTTACCTGATGTCGCATCTTAAATCAATACATTAATCATACATTTATACTGCGTATATGACAGCTTATAAAATATGTAGGTTTATTAACCCTTCATTAGGTGCAAAGGTCGTGACAAGGCAAAGTCTTACATACGAGTGAAATTAATAATGTAAATGAAGGCCAACTGTGAAACCTAATTTATTAGATCATCAGTATATTGGACGTATGAAATGCATTATCACTTGAATTGTTTCGTATAGGGGACATGCCAATTATTTTTACATACCATTATATTTCATAGACATTTCAAAGGGAATTTCTGAAAAGCAATTTAGTACTTCGTCTATTTTTGTAAAGCTTATAATTCTTTTTTTTTCAAGTAATAGTATGTCAGTCTTATTTAAGGAAAATAATGCTGGCCTATTAATTGCGATTATATAGTACTTGTATAAGCTAGACTCGTAATTATTTATACAGAGCATTCATTTACAGAAATATTTTTTATGGAAAAGGATGTTGCCATTGCAATGATTATCACAATAACACATTCTCTAGTCTTACTTGTGTCTGACAGTTAAATTCTTTTTTCTGTGTACAGGCTTTTGCATCTTACATCTTTAAGTACATATTTATTTCGTTTCTCTGAATATAATCATGTATTTTTATTTTGCATAAAGCAAAATTTTATCAGATTTACGATTGGTTAACTTTTTTCATTCAGTTTAGTTACTTCAATAAATTTCGCCCTTTCGCGTGATTAAACTAAATTTGCTATATTGTTGTGAAAACCTAACTTTGTATTCATTTATAATGTATTCTTAAACATCTATCAAAAACATTTTACGGAACGTTGTAACAACTTCGCAGTGTTCCTACCTTTGCTTTCTTTGCATTTTTGACAACATAGTCCGTTCGCTGGTGGTGATTTGTCACAATCGATTGGATAAAAGCATAAAATAAATGCACAATCCCCCACTGGGGTCCCATTGACAATCATTGTATAAGAAAGTAGAACAAATGCAAGCATAATTTTGACCGAATCCATGTCTTTTCTGCACTTGTCTAAATACAATTTTCTAAAACATAAAATATGGCACTACATAATTACGTCCGTTGTATGATATGAAATTGTAAACAAATTGAACAATAAATTAATGAAGCAATTCTTTGTATTTCGTTTCAAATATCCGTTATTTTTCATTATTATCTATCAATCGCGGTCGGCCTGTACTTAAAATTATAAAAACTATTAACAAAACGTCACTAGTATCGAAAGACTGTTTGTAAAACAAATGCTTTATTCCGTTTTACTTTGCCGACAAATGATTTTAGAACATCGCTTCTCAAAATAAATAAATAAATAAATAAAATAGATAAAACATAGAATTTCTTGTATAATTTTCTCAACATTATCCGTTATTAATATTTTCAATATTGAGACATTTGGTCAATTTAGAGATAAATTCGGTCTTTTTAACATAGTAAATGATTAAAAATACGGTATCTCACTCTGATTAAAAGGGATTTGATGTGAACTTTTATTATTTCGAACGTTTCGTACAGAATTATAATAACTCACCTCTATATTTTCCGAATATGTATCTTGATCTAACACTCAACCAACCTATGATTTTTTTTATCTTTCAATTTCCAAAATAAGTCCGTCTTACAATGTAGAAAGTTCACGTTAAATGACAATTTATATCTATAATGTTTGATAGGGAGGGATGACGAATACACATAATTATATCTAAAAAAACAATTACAACATCTGTTCATCTTTCTATATGAGATTTGTCAAGCGCCACATATTACGTTTAACCTCTTCAGGATCTCCTTAATAACATAAACAATATTTAAATCAATTTCTCAAATATTATAACTCATTTGAAATATAGCTTGTTTGTAAATATAAAGTAATAAAAACTCGGCCATAATAAACTTTGTTTCATTGTACTTAGTACAAGTTCTTTAAACCATAAGCGTTTTTGTTTGTTTGTTTGTTTTTTAATACAGGTTAAATAGGAAATAAAATTATATTATGTCTTTGTAAATACTATTTCCAGAAGTCAGTGCAGTATTTGTGGAACCATGCACAGTAAGATTGTAAAAAGACGAAAAACAAAACGTATAGAGCAAAAACAAAACACTAATCTGTGAATTAGAGTCCTTAATGGTGTATCAGCGTGTGCGTGTATGACTATAGCACCAGCTTGTTAAGTTTATGTACATTTTACTTCGGAAACTAATATTGTATTGTTTTACTTCATTTATTTAAAAAAGGGCAACCTTGAGTTTTAAAATGTTGTAGTTAGACGTTTATTACATGAATAAAGAGTGCTTAATCAGTAATTATTTGCAATGAAATGAAAATGGCTATTTAGCGTTTAAAATACTATCATTTTTAGGATCCTGTCCTGTACACTTTCCCATTTTTCATTTTTTCTTGAAAATTCAAATGAATTTATTTAGTTTTCATTTGTGTTTCACGGAATTGGCATGTTTTCAACAGGATATGACATAATCTGGGAGCTTGCCCCCCCCCCTCCCCCCTAGCCTCTCCCTGGAGAGTGCAGACAAAAATGTAAATACATGTACGTGGCTGTGTAGGTCACACATAAAAACATCTTATTCAGCAATTAAACCATGCTAATTTCTATTTTAATGTTAAGATTATAATAAAAAGAAATGTATGTTTTTGTTATGGCAAATTTGCTGTTAGTTATGAAATATGCACATGAATTAACTTCTCCAAACTATCAAACGTCAAGTCATTTCACCTTGATTCTTTTGTTTAAAATAAAACCAAACTCTTAATCGAACAAATCATAACTAAATAGTTGAAAAAACTTTCAATCATAATTTTTTTGTCTATGCTTGCTACCTACATGTTGTAAAAAAGTATATTTCCATTGTTGTTACAGGTTTCCTGTGTGCTACTCTTCTTGGAAATAAATGTTTGTATACCGTAGTAAGAATGTGCATTAAATTTATTTGAAGTCCTGAAAATTTGCAAAAAAAACCTTATCTGGACTTAGTGATGTTGAATAATTTATGAAACATGTTAAAGATGTAAAATAACCTTTCAGTATAAAAATGGCCTTGTGTGCGGAACTGAGTCCACTATTTATTATATTTGGCCCATTCCTGTTGCTTAAAATCAAGTGCGCCTAGAAGTATGACCTACTTAAGATAGAAACGTTTTGGTCATCAGTTTTTAAGGGCAAAGGACGTAATTTTCAAAATAATATCAATTATAAGAAGAATTTTTAACTATAAGATAATTTTCTTATTTTCCCTTAAAAAAAGTGTACGACACCGGGTACACTGACTCTAGTCAGAAGCTGCGGATTTTAGTGTAAAATTAAAAACAGCAAATTTCACATTGAATATAGATTTGTAAATTTATGGATTGAAAAATCTTTAGACTCGTCAGACCTATGCTCGCCCAATAAAGGCAATTATTTGATTACTATTTAATACACTTTGACTTAAAAAAAAACTTTTTTCGAATTTGTTTTATAGCTGGTCATATTTGGTACGTAATGTGACCCATTTAAAACATAAACACTTACATCCGCGGGTACTTTCTGCTAGGTCAAACACCACCAAATTAATATTCTGAAATGTTGAAGGGAGGAGACCCATGCTCGCCCACCGGTATATTACGAATATAAAACGGATATAACCTGAAATCATTCATCATATTTTTAGACTGATTTGTTAATATAAAGAAGGTATTTATGTTTTGCATTATAATTATATTTTTACAGAGAAAATCTTATTTAGATATACTTACTATGTAGACTTTTTATTTTTTCAAAAGATAGTCAACTGCTGTTGGTAGAGTTGGACTAAAAAGTTTCTGTGCCTAAATATCATGTACATACGTTTTTTTTTTCAAATTCAAAAAGTTAACTAGAAACATAAACTAGAACAAAAACAGCAGTGTGTGGTCTATAGTTTCAACAATTACTCCTCTTCACAATATCTACAAAACCACCTTGTGCTGGTAACTAAACTCAGATCTACATCTGTTTGCACATTAGATGGCAAGCACTCATAGTGGCACCACTTGTCATATCCCTCTTTCTTGCCTTTTTCAAATGTCTCAGGATCATGAATTTTTTTGTTGCCTGGGCATACTGATCACTCTGAAGAGGATATGGGGAATAAGTAGTGGTGTATGACCTAGGTTATTTTTAGTTACGTGATAAAAAACGAAAAAAGTAATTCTTTTTTTATTTAAAGCTGCAGTCTTCGTTAATTATCTACTAAGTGATTTATAAATCAATGTCTAACCAAAAAATACACCATAAATGCACCAAAAGCGACAGATTTAATGAAAAAAGCCGACTATTGTGGCGGCCCTGGAAATTGCATGTAGAAAAACAATATGACAGCTTGTGTCAATACCAGTTTATGACTGTTTTAAATATATCGGAACGACTTAAACTTTACACAAAGTAAGAACAATGTTTAATTGTTATTTTAAGTTGATTTTTATTAAGATTTTATTAAAAAGTCACGCATGGTTCGTTGCTTTTATTAGCATCACGGACTTTCATTTGTACTTAGGTTTTCGTTTTCGTCTGCTTTATTATGCTAACAACTTCCGTTAAACTCTTCAAAAACAAGGTGAAAAACTAGGACACTTGCAGCATCTAGAAACAACAACACATGATTCAGATAATATTTTTATTCATAAGTTTATATCATAAAAATAACAATCTGGGCGAGCATGCGCCTGGGCGAGCATAGGTTCGGTGAGTCTAAATTTCTAGACTATCCCTGGGATATAAGATAATGTCCCAGACTATCCATAAATTTACGGACAGTCCATAACATCATGAAATACTAGACCTGATAAATGACCACTACAGCAGGGTTAATTTTGATGGAACATTTTTTCTTTATAACTTTTGTAAATGAATATACAAAATGTCACATGCAAAATATGTAAGGTGTTTACAGTATGGGACAACAAACTTTTTATTTGAGGGCAAATATGTGCCCAATCGGTAAAATTATGGAGCTTTGGTAGCGTCTGTCAAGCGTAACACACTTGTTCCGATTTTCCGTCAACTCCCGTAACCAGTACCATACGGTACTAAAAAACTCAAAACTTTGTGCATCCCGATGTGAATGATTTGTCTTTATTTTCAGTAATACAAACTGTGCAAGTCATTTTAATAACCAAAAATTCCTTACGAAAAAATCGCTTCGGGGCATTATCATTTTGCTTTGGATTTCTCAGTTGTTTCAGCATTCTTGGGAAACCTCATTTGGTATAGGCGCAGAGTTGTTTACGGTAGATTCTGTCGCTCCATCAACGTTAACATTGTCTTTCTTGAAGAATGCTGCTTTTTTTCGAAGCAGACATTTATGAATTTACCCGGATAATGACGTCGCAATCTGAAGCGCCTGAGCGCTTTTAACATGTAATAATCACTAAAGCGTCTAAGATAAATCATGTGACCGATCAGCTGATGAAATTCATGCTATAGGCAAGTTGATTGTTATTGTTTTGATTCGTATATTTCCGCGCATGCGCATTAACTGGTTGGCAGAAAACAAAACAAATAAACATGGCGTCAAAGGAAAACGATATGATGGTGGCGAGTAAATTAACAACGCAGATTTCTCATTTAGATACGATTTCAATGAATAGGTATGCTGAAAAGTTGCTTGTCGATGGATTCATGATTCCCGATCCGTATGGGACAGGTTTGAAGTACGAAAACTCTACGCAGAAGTGGCCGAATGTTTTGTTTGGTGACATTTATAACTACATGTACCTGATCAATACGCCAGGAATCTACACACAAGAAAGTATGAAAGCATATAAATCGCTTGATGGGTATAATTTCTTCGCTTGTGGCCATGTCCAGGAAGTCCTGTTTTCTGAAGTCTCTGGTGATAGCCCAGTTTGTGTGTTAAAGTCGAAGGTTATGCCATCTCAAAGTGTCACAAAGAAGCCTCATTAACCCTGGGCGTGTGTAAACAAGGAGAAGGGCTACATAATCTCTGCACATTGTACAAGTAAAGCTGGGTAAGAATTTTTTTTACATATTGCATTGAAATTTATTTTTATAAATTGATCAATATTGTAAATGTATATAATTTTTTTACACATCAACACTGATCAATGCTGATATGATTGTGAAAGTTAACCTTAATGTCATAGAGTGCAGTGGGGACTCAAACTTTCGACCCTCAGGATACGGTACTGCAGCTTTACGGACAGAGCTATTTAAAAAAAGTATTTTACATTCTACCAGCCCTTTAGCCCTAACTAGTGAACAGTTTAATACCTTAATTTGCATCAAAATTTTTATTTTACAGTTAAAAAGAACAATACTTTATCACCGTCATGTATGTCTAATGCTGGTCCTTATGCCTAGCCACTGCCACAATTAAACAAGAGGGCCATGATGGCCCTGAGGTCGCTCACCAGTATATAGGCCCCCCCACCCCCGGGGCAATTTTTACCCAAGGGCTTTTATTTGTTTATTTGAACAGACTTGGTAAACACCCATAAGAAGATGTTTCATGCTAAACATCTAAGTTCTAGCTCATTGGGTTTTTTAAAAGAAGATTTTTTAAGTTTTTACTATACACATATAGTTAAAAACAATGACACCCCTGGGGCAGGGCCAGTTTTGACCCCCGAGCTTTTATTTGAACAAACTTTGTAGATATTTACTTAAAGATGTTTCATGCTTAATATCTAA